CCCTGTTTTGAGTCTCAGAGTTTTCCTTAATACATATGTAATAAAATAATATCCATAAAGTACCTGCAACTTTACTTGCTCTAACACCTGCTTTTTTCATCCAGATCTTAAAATTCGAAAATCAACAGGAATGGGTGAACAGTACTTCTATTTTATTCCACTTAATGCAAATTAGGGTAGCACGAGTTTAATTCGAGGTTTATTTTTTCCTGTGGCGGACTTTTTCCTTCTCTTCTCTTTTTGACCCGCCACAGGGAACAATAAACGAGGTTTCTAAATGGTCTCGTGCTACCCTAATGCAAATATTAAAATTTTCTTTTAGGCTTACGAGAAAGCTTATATCATTTGCTACATGATAAAAATAACTCCTTTAAAATTTATCTTTGCGGCGCCAAAGCCATTACAACTAAGGACTGCAGAAAATTATAGAATATAATTTAAGACAACTAGTGTACTGTTAATTCTCGGATTTTGAGATCTCGATATTGCGATCACATTTTACCTTCATTTCTTTTGTAAGTTCTAATGCTACTCTTGTTCAAAGAATTTTATGAAGTTCAAAGAATTTTATTAATTTTAAGAAAGAATTTTATGAAAGAATTTTATGACTTGTTCAAAGAATTTTATGAACTTTGCTTTGTAAATAAAAATTTTACGAGGGGTGTATATAAAAATAACTCCTTTATATATAGTTATGTTACTAATTGTATATTTGAAGGGATTCACTATTTAAAAATTATTAAAGAGTAATTGAATGAAATGGATTTGTTATTTTAATTAATGATAAAATATTTAACATATTAATTAAATTATTATTATTAATTAAAAATAAAGAATAAAAAATGGAAAATTTAATGAATTTTGGAAGGTCAAGAAGCTAGATTTATATATATAAAATAAATTAAATTAAAAATATAAATTATTTATATTAAAATGAGAAGGTTCAAAGTCCTTCCTGGAAACAGCAATAAAAAGTACAAACCCATTATACAAGATTTATGGGTCTGGAAGGAATTTTTTGTCAAATATACAACCAGAAAAAATAAAATATTTTGATAAAAATAAATATAAAGTACAAAACAATTAGCGTAAAATTGTTTTGTTTCATTGAAAACAAAGAGACAGCTGTTGAAATACATTCACCGATTTCTCAACGATTTCTATTGTTAAAACTTATTGGGCAGTGTTTTGGATTTTGTTGTTTCACTATCAATCGCCCACCAGCTGGATAATAGGAATTTGGCAATTTAACCCGGCTTTTCCTATCGTTACCCGCCCAATTTTAACCACTTCCTCAATTCTTCCTCTTTATAAAATAGTTAACATTTTCTATCAATTGTGCCTCATTTTAAGTAAAATTGGATAAAAATTTAAAAGTTAAATTCTTTGTTTAATTATCCAGGTTTGAGTTAAAAAATCCTTATTCATAAAGAAGAAAATCCTTATCAGAAGAATTTTAGAAGAAAAATTTTATTTGGAATTTTAATTGGAATTATTTGAAGGATTTTATTAAAAAGGATTAAATTGAAAATCATACTTTACAATAATTTGGTGCCGCTAACGGGGAAGAAGACGAACTTTGTGGTGACATTCGACTCACTCAATTAAAGTAATTTAAAGTTTAAAAAAATAGTAATTTGTTCAAATAGGACTTCAAACCTATATGACAAATAATTAAATAATAATTTTTGAGGATAAATTAGAAAAAAATTTTTTGAAGTTATTTTCGAATCAGGTACCCTATTTTCGAATTAGGTACCTTATCATTAGAGCCCGGATTTTTATGCAAATGCATATTTTTTTGCAAACTTTTCATGATGTGTTATGCACAAAAAACACTGTTTCCGAAAGTTTTGAAAACTTTAGAGGGGGTTTCTATTTGCATATAATGCATATTTTTGCATATTCCGGACTTTGTTGCATAATGCATATTTTACTGCATATTTTGAAGTTTTTGAGGAAAATATTGCGAAAATTGCCTAAAATCCTGCCAAAAAGTGAAAATTTAGTAAAAATTTAGGAAAAAATTTGTAAAAATTACAGATTTTGTAAAAAAATTTTTGTGTTTATTGGTTTCGCCAGAAAATGGCCCACCCCCATAATGTCTCAGCCCCAAAACGTCGCACCTCAAGATGTCCCACCACCAAAATGCCTCATCTCAAAATGCCCAACACCGTAAAAATGCTCAATTTATCGAACTATACATTTAAAATAGGAGAAATCTTACTAAAAAATGTATTTTAAATCATTTTGACTAAAAATATGTAAAATTTTTAGGTATAAATGGTATTTTTCATGCATATATGCGTGCATATTTTGGTTTACTTGCATATTTTTGTGCATATTTTGGCAATTTTTTATGCATATTATAGTGCATATTTTGCATTTTTTAATGCATAAAAATCCGCGCTCTACTTATCATAGTTTTAAAAGTACTGTTAGCGATTTAATTTAAAAAATAATATATCTTTATCGGGGGAATATAAGCCGATAAAATCAAAAATTGGATCCGAGGGTCAACAATATCGGATCACATGACTACTCTACAATGTTAAAATATAGAAAAAGCAATAAAAGTAGAGTACTGCAACTTTTAAAAACTTTTTCCGGATCCCAGAACGGCATTGAGTTTCAAAAGGTCGAACGGAACTTTTCGGGATTCCTTCCGTGCCGCACTCTAATATAAAATTAATCAGGGTTTCATAATAAAAAGTTTTAATTGGGCATGGAGTATAGCTTTGGAATGATTCTGAAGTGATTTGACTCATTATTTCGATTAGTTTTCGATATCCCTCATATAATGTTCGAGTCAAACGCAGAATAATGGAAACTTCCTGTACGATATGATTATAGAAGTCATGAAACCCTAATTATTTTAAAATAATCCCGAAAATAAAAAGTATGAATCAAAAAATCATTTCCTCAACTCGTTTAAATACATATCATCAGAACATTGGATAATATTGAATAGCCAATAACATCCAGCCAAGAATGAACAACATGAGGTTAAATCCAAACCAGATTGGAGCCAACCAATGTCCACAATCAGTTACAGTCAAGCTTGAACCGCGTGTTGGTGTACCCGGAAAGCGTGTTGGTGTGCTTGAACTGCCGCTTGGATCGTGATAATACATACGTTTCTGACGTACAATTTTATCCAAAAATATATTTGAAATTGAACGTTTACGGCGACGATCATTTTTCGGTTTCGGGTTGAGGCAAGAGAAGAATTTTGAGAAAGCACTTTTCTTTTGTTTTCTAACTGTAAATTAAAAATTAATTTATAGTGTTTGTATTCGATTTTATAAAAGCCCCCTCTATTATTCATTCAAAGTAAAAAAGTATTTCTATCGTGATAAAACTTATTCCAAAAGCATAATCAGATTTTCATATTTGAATATTTAATTTTTCTCCCATCCCTTTTGATAAAAAAATACAAATTACCTCTGTGACCTTGACCGCCATAATGGGGAGTACCCTGAGATGTACCGGCATGATGAGTACCATAAGATGTACCGGCATGGCGTTGTGGAGTGCCCAAAGGTGAAAAACCAGCATGTTCGATTCCACCTAAAATCGGCAATTTAATTACTAAGGCTTCAAAAATTTATTGGTTCAGCTGTTATAAGTAGGGATGGGATTCATATAGACTATCAATAGGAAAATATTGACATATAATATGGACTAAAAATCACAAAATATGGACTGAAATATGGACTATTATTTTTGGTTAAAAATTTTATTATAAAAATTTTTTATAAGGTGGCGCTATAATTTTGTGAAGCATTGTATATTAGGCTTAATTAATTCTGGCTTAACTACTAATTAAGCCTGAATGTAATATGCTAGGGAACAATGTTATAAAATTAGAAAAAACTTACCAAATTCACGAAAAGGAGAAAAAACAGGTGTTGGCGCGGATGTACCAGCTTGGCCGTATGATGATTCTCCTTCAATTTATTAAAAATTAGGATATACTTTAGCCGGTGGCCGGTTCGAAACCGATTCGAAATATATACCATTCGATTCGTCTCGGCGAGCTGAGTCGAATGGTACCACTCCCAGGGTGCGGAAACGCCTGTGGACCGAGATATAGGTCCCCGAAAATCGAAAAACCATAGGGGGGAGTAAGCTCAATTTTGGGGTGAAAAAATATATTTTTTGAATGATAAATCATTCGAAAGAGCTCCGCGAGCTGAGTCGAATGACACCAAAATCACCGTGATTAAACAAAATTAGACAAAGTTATGACACAAAAAACCTAAACCTATGGAGCATCGGCGAGGCGCTTGTGCAAAACCCCGCGCTTCGCGCGGGGTTTTGCGGCACGCGCCTCGCGGGGAGTCTACGGGCGCTGGATCTGGGTTCGTAACATAAACCTATTCCTATCTCCCTTGTTCTGGACGTATTTGGGGCCTCCGTAGCAGCAAAAATCTCCACAGATGCCATAGGTAAGGAGCTAAAAGAAAAGATCATAACTTTGTCCAATCAAGTCGGATTTCGTTGATTTTGGTGTCATTCGACTCAGCTCGAGGAGCTCTTTCGAATGAGCTATTATTTGCATATACAAATTTTTTACCCCAAAATTGAGCTTACTCCCCCCTTTGCTTTTTCGATTTTCGGGAGCCTGTATCTCGGTCCACAGGCGTTTCCGCACCCTGGGAGTGGTACCATTCGACTCAGCTCGCCGAGACGAATCGAATGGTATATATTTCGAATCGGTTTCGAACCGGCCACCGGCTAAAGTACAGCCAAAAATTATTTTATGAAAGGATCATTCTCTATGCTTTTTTGGATTAAGTTGTATTCCCAATAGAGACCCTACTATGCACGAATTTTCTGTCATGAGACCGACTATAAACTTTATGGAATGCAGTAAAAAAAGGAGTTAGCTTTCACATTTTTTGTGTAGATTAATGGGATAATCAGGTTTACGTTAAATGGGTCTAAAGGGATATCGACAGATTAAGGTGAACTTCTTAATCACATCTATTCCTTATTAGTGGCACTCAACCGTGTGGGAGGGGGGGCTTTTTGAATGGAATTATAGGAAAACTTAGTATTAAAATTAATAATTTGTTATAGTAAAGGTAAATTTCAGAAAAGTGTAGCTCTATTTCACATTGGGCTTTAATGCAGCGTGGAGCACTAAATCAAAAAATACGGAAATTATTGTTTGTTATGGGCAATTATTTTCGGAGAGGGTAATTATTAACGATAAATTAACTAGTACCTATTAAACATTATAAATTATAATTACCTGGATATTGAGTTGTTGGATAAATGTGTGCTTAAACAATATTATTTCATTTAGTATTTATTATAATAAAGGATTTTTATTAGAATTAATAATAATAATTTTCATTATAATATTAAAAAAATTTCGAGCCTGGACATTTACCGAGATAGGTTCTATTATAAAATTCGATATTTTAAATGCTAACCTGGACGTCGGGGAGGCATTATTTCAGCCAAGGAATATTCAAATTCTCCTTCGTTTCTTGCCAAATAAAAAGTTATCCAATCATCGTTGCATGGTTTCATATCTTGTCCACGTCCAATATTGCCTCCTATACCACCACGTTCATCTTCGAATGCTGATTGGCCTAAAAAATTTTAATATTTTTAAGAAAGGATTGGGTTCTAACGCTTAGTCCGCAAAATAGAACAGATATATTGTGAAAACTTACTTAGTCTTGTTGCATATTTAAGCCAATTTTCCTTTTCAATTCGTTCTTGCTAAAAAATTTTTTTAATTAATTAAAGTTTACTTTAGGCGCATACAGTCTCCCTGAAAAAAATTCCATGACCTTCATCATAATCGCATTTCTTTTCATAAAGTACGTTTTGAGCTATTGGCCACACAACATGAAACAAATGAGCTAATCCTTGAATTGTATAAAGAGCCATTGCCATCCTTCCCTGCTCAGCTTGTCTCCATTTATTATCGTGATATTCTTGATCCATGTGATAACTGCCATTTGTTCTGATAATAATAAAGATGGATTTTAGATTGCCGGCAAAATTTAAATTAACAGGCAATTTTCAAATTTGCCTGAACTTAAAATATTTCGCAACCCCGTATCTTTAAAAGATAAAACAAACAATGGTTCAAAGATTCCTCCTTGCAGAACATTAAAGTAACTGATCGAATTGTAAAAGTAAGCAAGATACGGAGTTTGAATATTAATCGGCCGGAACCAACTCTGAGTGATGATCAGCTGATCATTATAAATTTGAATGTCGTCCATTTTTTTATTATTAACATTGTAAACAAATTGGTTTAGTATCGCCTCCTTAGCAAACTTGACTTCTTTTGCAGTTACATATTCGTATTCACTAGGTGTGTAGTTTCCAAGTTTTTCGAAAAATGGGATAATCCTTTCCATAAATAATTCTCCATAGCTATTTGCGAAATAAAATATTCGCGCAAACAAGATTCCAATATTTTCAGATTCTGTTGATATGTTAACAAGGGTATCAAAAATAACATCGACTTTATCATGCCAATTCTGACAGAAACTTAATTTTATTAATAAAGCTGAGTTTAGATTTGAAATACACCTTTTATTTGGTGGTACGAGTTACTGTCAATGAAAAATACCTGCCCGAAACTAACTAAACCCTCTCTCTTATGCTATTTTTGGGTTAATTTAAGGTTGCTTCTTTTGTCACAAATGAATAAATATTTTGTAAAGCCCGGTATATAATGGGAAAGATCAGCCCAAATTTTTTTTGTATACCTAGTTTTACTTCCTCTAGGGCACATAAATTGAGTCCAATTATAAAATAGTTTAAAAATTTCATTGAATTGAAGATTTCCTCCAACATATTGCGGAAGGCTTTGATAGTCGATTTGATCAAAATCCGTGAAGAATCGAGATGTTTCTTTAAAATAAATAATATAATACATACAGCTAGACTGATACTTATTAGTTAACTCATACTAACTTATTTACATATGTGCTAATGTGTTTTGTGATATGGAGTAATTTCAAATAGGAACTGTAGCGAATAATCCTATATTAAATTTGAGAATGCTCTGTTTGTTTGTCCGCAGCTTTAAATTTTGCTGTGTTTGGCGTTGTGTTTAATTTTTATTTAAAAATGACAAAATATCCCAAAAATAAAATAGTGTATGTTTAGAGAAGTAAAGAAAGTAATGAGTATTTTTTAGAAGTTGTTTCGTGTTTTTTTGGATTTTTTTTGTTTGTTAACTGTATTTAAGATGTGTTTCGATTGTTTTGTTCTTTTGTTTTTTAAAATTTGTTTTATTTAGAAAGAAAAATAGTGTGTATTTAGGGAAGTAAAGAAAGAATGTGAATTTTTTAGAATTTGGTTTGATTTTTTTGAAATTTATTTTTTTTCGTTTTTTGGGCTTTTTCTTTTAATCAATTTTTTAAGTTTTATTTTGTTGTTCGTCTGATAGAAGAGTGAGGGAAGAGTTTCATTAATGTTGGAAAGAAAAGGGTTCCGTAACTGGGTGAAAAGGGTCTGGAAATGGTTGGAATAATGGTGAGCAAAAAGGGTCCCGTAACTGGGTGAGGGTCCCGTAACTGGGTGAAAAGGGTCTGGAAATGGTTGGAATAATGGTGAGCAAAAAGGGTCCCGTAACTGGGTGAGGGTCCCGTAACTGGGTGAAAAGGGTCTGGAAATGGTTGGAATAATGGTGAGCAAAAAGGGTCCCGTAACTGGGTGAGGGTCCCGTAACTGGGTGAAAAGGGTCTTGAAATGGTTGGAATAATGGTGAGCAAAAAGGGTCCCGTAACTGGGTGAGGGTCCCGTAACTGGGTGAAAAGGGTCTGGAAATGGTTGGAATAATGGTGAGCAAAAAGGGTCCCGTAACTGGGTGAGGGTCCCGTAACTGGGTGAAAAGGGTCTTGAAATGGTTGGAATAATGGTGAGCAAAAAGGGTCCCGTAACTGGGTGAGGGTCCCGTAACTGGGTGAAAAGGGTCTGGAAATGGTTGGAATAATGGTGAGCAAAAAGGGTCCCGTAACTGGGTGAGGGTCCCGTAACTGGGTGAAAAGGGTCTGGAAATGGTTGGAATAATGGTGAGCAAAAAGGGTCCCGTAACTGGGCGAGGGTCCCATGGCTGGGTGAAAAGAGTCTGTAAATGGTTGAAATAATGGTGAGTAAAAAGGGTCCCGTAACCCATGGCTGGGTGAAAAGAGTCTGTAAATGGTTGAAATAATGGTGAGCGAAAAGGGTCCCGTAAATGGGTGAAAGGGTCTGGCGATGGTTGGAATAATGGAAAGCGAGAATAGTCCCGTAAATTGGTAAAAAGGGTCTGGAAATGGTTGGAATAATGGTGGGTAAAAAGGGTCCCGTAACTGGGTGAGGGTCCCGTAACTGGGTGAAAAGGGACTGGAAATGGTTGGAATACTGGGAAGCGAAAATGGTCCAGTAAACGCGTGAAAAGGTTCTGACAATAGAGGGAAGTAGAGATTTCGAGCGACATGCAAGAGTCTGTCAAATGGCTTGAGAAAAGGATTCGTCAATAAACAAGAAAAAAGACCCGTCAATAGAAAAAAGTCATTAGGCTTGAGAAAACGGTCCCACAATAAGTGAAAAAACGGTAATGACAGATAGATGAGTGACATTGTTAATAGTTAATAGTTGAAAATTGATAGTTAATAGTTGAAAAATAGATATTAATAGTTAAATAGTGAAAGTTGAAAATCTCAGCTAATAGTTAAAGTTGACATAGATATTAATAGTTAATGGTTGAAAATCTTAGTTAATAGTTGATTTAGTTTTGGCTAGCGGAAGGGGCTCGCCCGAAGGGCGACCCCCTCCGCTAGTAGTCCATAATATCCCTCCTCTTTTCAGCGACGCAGGAAAATTTTGAGGATTTTGGTTGTCAAGCTGACAGATTGCTTAACTATATTTTGGAAAAAAAATTTTGAAAAAATAGGTTTTGGAAAAAAATTATACGTTGGAAAAAAATATATGTATTTCAATACAAATCAGTATCCTACTTTCATATTATGTTTATTATGTACAGATATAGGTATTTCCTGTTAATAAATTTTTACCAAGTTCGAAGCAGCGATTAAAAACATTTTTGTGAAATTGACTGATCAAAGATCCCTTTATAAGAAATTTGTTTATAAAACTTCTCCTAATTTGTGTATATTGAAAACGATTTTGGATCCTTTTCACATTAAATGAAAGCATTGTCGCCCAACGAAGATTGTCTTCGACTTGCTTTATCTTAGAATCATTGGTTAACTGTTTGTCATTTATTGCTATTACACTATAAATTAGATTGTAATTTATAATTGTTGCACCCCGACCCCGTACCCCGACCTCTGTTTCCGAAAGATTTTTCAAGATTTTCCAGAACCGAACCCCTCTCCGAAATAAATGAAAACTTCGTCCCCCGACCCGAAAATTGATATCCGACAAAACCCCTGAAATCCGACAAACCCCTCATATCCCTGCAATCCCTCGGAACCGCCTCAAATATACTGCTTACCTGCATCCTGCTAGGTAAAGCAAATAATGCATAGCAAAAGGTTCATCTATGGACAATTTTTGAAGCATTCCCTTGCTATTCAATCCTCGAATAGGATTAAACCATGCTGCCTCACATGAATCTTTCCATACTATATCCCCATCTTGATTATTTTCAAATTGATTGAATCCCATTATTTTCTGCCAATCCTCGTTATACATAATTTGGCTTAAGCCCTTTACAAAATCATTAAAAATTAATAATATATGAAATACCGTAACTATTAGCCCCATTCTTTTAGAGGCCTACATCTATGATAAACCCATACAAAGAGAACCATTGGAAATATAAGTCCAAGTCTTATATTAAAATTTTATAGGCTCAATAAATATTTATAGGCTCTGCTATTTATAGGCCCTGCAATAGATCATAAGCTATGCGATTTATAATATGGCAGCGATTCACCTTCATAATTTTGTCATTAAGGTTTGATTGGATAGAAACTTTTTATAACCTCCTTTGAGCTTTATATAAAGAGGACGCAACCTCGTTATGTATATTATACATAAGTTGGTTGCGAAATACAAAGCGTCTTTTTTAACCTATAACAATAAGCACTTACTCTAATATATCGAAAATCGTGATTCCACTTGTCTGTTCCGACATAAAAGCGATATTTGACAAAAGCTTTAACATCATCATTGCTAAAGTATTCTTCAAATTCAAAGTCTTCTCCACGGAGCACTTTCATTATTTGGCGAATGAGGCGCAATTCCTTAAATTTCAATTAAATAGATTTCATTAATCGTTATGTTCGTTCCTCGCATTTTTCCTTCCTTAAGATACGTAAAGTTTACAGTACTTTTATTGCTTTAACTAAATAATGTATAGAATTAATTGTCTTATAGAAAGAGTTTGCAAAAGTTTAGCCACCGGGCAGGATTCACCTGCTAGTTGTTGCTAGGCGCTTTCGCTCACTATATGCAGGAGCTCTACCTCTGAGCTACCGGGGCATCGACTAATGCTTTCTCTTTTTTCTTTTTAGATCGTTTAACCCCCGCCTAAGCGTTTTAAATGCTGCTGGGTGAATCATCCTTACATTATTCAATCAGTAAAAGAGTGAGTGCTTCGGTATGGTTCAGTTGAAAGTTTAGATTACTAGAAGGATTCAGGCGATTCCTTATGAATTTCAAATCTTCACATCAAATCTTTGCAAATTTTAAATTATTCAGATCCATAAAAATGGTATAGCGACAATATGATTACCATAGCGAAGAGTGAAATTTATGAAGGAGAAAATCTGAAGATTATGTGCCTTCTGAGAATGGACAATGCGGTGAAAGAACATGATTACTACTAAATATTTAAAAATTTCAAAACCTCATATTTTTGCGTAGAAGCTAGTAATAATACTAGAAATCTAACACTATCTTTCACTCTTACAGCCCGAAAATTTGGATCAGCCAACATCCCCGACAATTCATTAGCAATAAATATAGGCTTTGTAAGCATGAATGCATAAAGGAATTCACGTGCGCGATGTTCATTTTGTAACTCAACTTAATAGAAAAATTGTAATACATATTATTATTTTAACTCCACCAAGACAAGTAGGAAAAGTTTAAGTTTTCCCGACCTAATTAATTTCTCGAGCTAATTAATAAAATATAAATGTATATATTTTTTGGGGTGTGACCGGCAGGATTTAAGAAAATCAGCTGCCATCCGTTACAACCTGTCATATTGTATGCCTCGAGGTTGACTTTGATTGTTGCTTCATATATGCTATCAACGCAGTTTATATAATCACTGGCATAAGTCAGCATCTCCATATTTACATTGTAGTGGAATATGATAGGATTATATGGTTGGTCAGCAGCTATCTTCAAAATTAAAAACTTTAGTAAAGGAATTGAAGATTTGCTTTACTGTTGAATAAATTATCAATACTAAGTTTCTGAAACGTTTAATCTATTGAAGGTCCAGCTAATGAAAATCATGAGTATTAGATCTACTAATGAGGAAAATTTTATTAGAAAGGAGATTATATAATTAATCAAATAGTATCCTACATATCCTTTCTCAATACAATAGTCAAAAATCCCTCCAAATCGAAAATGATCGTCGTAGAGTGAAAGGCCATTGAACAGGTGTAGAAGAGCATAGTCATTGTTGTATTTATGAATATCTTTTAAACTTGCTTCCAAAAATTGCTTGACTTGGGTTCGCATTGCCTTGTTGAAGTTGGGTCCTTCACATGATGAGCCTTTGAAAAATAGGAGGAAAAAGAAGAGTATGGGGAGTATGCATTGCAGAATGTTTGGGAATAAATGAGAGAATTTTTTTCTCATTCCTGAAAAAAATTTTTATTTTTAAGGCAAATTTAATGAAAAAATTTTGAAAACTTTTATAAATATTTTATAATTAATATATAAATTTTAAATTTCTTAAATTTTCTTCCTGTATATAAATAAATGTTGGGGAATGTATAATGAATAAAAATATTTAATAAATGATAAGAATTTTTTAAAAATTTTTAGAGGGGGGAGGGAAGGGGAGTGAGGAGAGGGGAGTGAGGAGAGGGGAAGGGAAGGGAAGGGAGGAGAGAAGAGAAGATAAGAGGAGAGGGGAAGGGAAGGGAGGAGATGAGAGGAGAGGGGAAGGGGAAGGGGAAGGGGAAGGGGGAGAGGAAGGCAGGAGAGGGGAAGGGAAGAAAGGTGGGGAAGATAGCGACAGAGAGGGCACAGGGAATTGACGATTGAAGGGATTTATCGTTTTTATGGAGTGTGTTAATTAGAGAGTGAAAGAAATCTGTCGTGTAATTATATAAAAATGATCAATTTACGCGTTAGATGGACAAAATTCTAAAGCATAGGCTATAATATAATAGACAAAATCACAAGTCTTTTAGCATGCTATCGTAGAAAATTGATTGACAAAAATTTTAAGAATTTTAAAATTTATAGCGTATGTAAATTAGAGACCGGAATTTCTTACTGAACGGTATTCCGTGCCGTACTACCGATACGGAATACCGATAAATACCGAAAAATACCGTCATCGTACGGTACCGTCCGGTCTCTAATGTAAATGTTTAAAGCAGCCGGCAAAGTTTTCTCACAGTCCAAGTTAGGCGGTCGTGGTCAGATTTAAAAATTTAAAATTTGCTCGTATTTGCCTTATTTATTAATGGTAATCCAATCAGGGTGGCCCTTTCCGAAACACTAAAATAGGGCGCAGCCACTCAAAAATAGGGCAAAAATAGGGCGAAATCGGCCAAAAATAGGGCAAAAAATAGGGCATTATTTAAAAATCTTAAAAATAATTAAAATTTCAATTAGGAAGCTTTATTTTATATATTTTTCACTAGTTTTAACTAAATTGAGCAAATGGAGGGATATAGAGGGGTTGGGAGCAATTATGAATGGATTTGGGGAATGGATTACCGAGGGGTCTATTCACCTTAATCCTCCTATACACAATTAATCTCTCAAATCTATTGATATCTCTCAAATAAATCTCTCTTTATCAATACAAATCCTCGTTATCCAGTCAGATCGCCCATACTACTAGTAAATCCTCTAAATCTTCTATAGTAAAATCCATCGATATTCCACTCAAGCCCTTCCAATCCCTCAATTTCACACAAAGTCTTCACAGATTTTTCCTTTTTCAGCGCCACAGGCAAAAATTTTGAGAATTTTGTACGGCCAAAAAGGCAGCTTCTTTGTTTTTTGCGCCGCAGGCGAAAATTTTAGGAATTTTGGAAGGCCGTGAAGCCAGATTTCTTACTTTTTCTGCCTTTTGATTTACGAAATTCTAAAATTGTAAAAATTTTACAAAATGGTAAAAATAGGGCAAAAATATGGCAAATGTAAAAATAGGGAAAAAATAGGGCGGAAAGGTCGAAAATAGGGCAAATGCCCTGTAAATAGGGCAAAAGGGCCACCCTGAATCCAATATTTTTTCCTATAATTTCAGGCCGGTGTAGAGGTTTGGCAAAACCGTTAAATTTTGAAAAACCCTCTTAAAAACCATCTTTTTTATCAATTATCTTACATATTCTTGTTCAATACAATAGTAAAAAATGCTCCAAATCGAAAATGATCGTTGATGAGTGAAAGACCTTGGTCGCAAAATAAAAAATATTAATACAAATATCATTAATAGGGCGTGACAAAACATGCAAATGCATATTTTGCATGCGGATATGCCATGAGCTGAAACGCTCAAAAATGGTGTTTTTACGTCTGTACGAACATTAGGGACCGGGTTCCTATAGCATATTTTTGCATATTTCGGTACTTTCGTGCATATTTGCATATCGATGCATATTTTGGGAAATTTAGCATATTTTTATCCAAAATTGAACATATTTTGGCATTTTTTGAGAAATTTGTAGTTTAAAAATTATTTTGTAGCATAATATAAAATTTTTTCACAAATTTTTTAAAGAAATTTTTTGGAAAAATTTTTTTAAAAAATATTTCTGGAAAATTTATTTCAAAAATTTTTTTTCATAAATTTAAAGTCCGTAAAATGTTTTAGAAGTGCTCTAAATTGCTATTTTAAAGACTAAATCATCGTTTTTACTTAAAATATTAATTTTTGAAGCACATTTTTACTGTTTTTTTGCTGCATATCTCGTGCATATTTTGGGAAATTTTGTGCATATTTAGGCCTTTTTCGGTGCATATATATGCGCATATTTTGGGATTTTCCGTGCATATTTTGACACGCCCTAATTATTACATTTTGCTAGATAAAGAGTTCTTTTCAAAGAAACAAATTAGTTTCACAATCTAGACTCTGTAAAATAAAGAACTCTTTTAGCAAAAGATAACTTAACTCAAACTCAAATTCTATTTAGAAAGTTTCACAAATAATATACTTTATTTAAATCTTTTTACACAATCTAAACGTTATAAATTAAATTCTAGAAATCTCTAGAAAACTCAAATTTAACTCAAATTTAACACAAATTAAAACAAAATTAACTCTTAGTCAAAGAACTCTAAACTTAGAAGACTTAAATCAAACTATTTAAGTTCTAATTTCAACTCTTTATTCTAAACAAAACAAAAGCCTAAAAGTTACACAACTTTATTCAAACAAATTCTATTACTATTAGAAAAGCTCTTTAGACAATAATAATTAAATAGCTTAATAATTAAATAGCTATATGCTTTACAATTTTAAATTTAATTAAAGAAAGGAATTTTTTTGTAAATAAAAAAATAAAAGTGAATAAAAAATGCCAAAGTTATAAGGGAAGTCTAACACTTAACAATTGAGAGTGATGGATGGGCAAAATTTAAGAAAATGCTCGACACTAATAAATAATATAAAAATTGATTGGCAATAATTTGAAATAATTTTTTTAAATTTATAAATTGTAGATATTGTAAGGCCTTTAAAGTTTGCCATAAGCCATTTATTACCGCTGCAGTGGGAATGCCTGGCATTTTCCGCAGTAGCAAAAACCTCCAAAAATCCACGATAAGGAGCTAAATGAAAGCACAATACATAGTAGTATAAAATAAGAAAAATATTAGGTCGTGTCATAATTAGTGTCGCTTTATTCGGTTAAATTTTTAGGGGTGTTATCTTACAAATATTCTTTTTTTCTTATTGACTACCATAAAGATCTGAATCTGCTCTTCATTTTAATTTCACGTTTAGCTATATATGGTTGATATTCATAAAGTTATAATTTTTTGAACATCGCTACCTCGTTGCGGAATTCAATAGCATTTGCACCATAAATTATAAATTACCAAAAATGGTACATAAGAAACAAAAAATATTAATATTCTAGTCAATGGGATCGTTGTCTATGCTATACAGCAAAGAATAGGGTTCAGGCTTTACTAGAAAAGCCGTATAACCCTCAGAAGCAAACATGGTCGAGGGAGAAGGGTATTCGACACGGTTTTCTGCATGGATAAAGAATAGAAGAAATAAATGCAAATTTTATAAGAAATTAAGACGAGTCGGGTTGTGTATAAAAATTTAGTAACATTATGTAATCAAGTTAAATCTGGAAATTTGTATTTTAAAACCTATTTGTGAATGTTTTAAAATCTGCTCCCTAACTATAACTCATAAAAATTTGAAATATTTTTAATAAATAATTTATCGAAAACGTTTAAAAAATGAAAATAAAATTTAATAAAAAGTACAAATTCAGAAATAAAGATAAAGGTGAGTTTTAAAATAAATGATTAAAGTTAAAGGAACCCTCGAGAAAGATGTTCCAATGGGGCAAAAAAAGTTCCAGTTTAGCTTACAAAAGAATTAAACTGGAATAAAAAAACCCCATGTCGGAAAAGTCGGATCTCACTTGCATCACTCCATTGGTTATCAATAGGGCGTGTCAAAACATGCAAATGCATATTTTGCATGCGGATATGCCATGAGCTGAAACGCTCAAAAACGGTGTTTTTACATCGGTACGAACATTAGGGACCGGGTTCCTATAGCATATTTTTGCATATTTCGGTACTTTCGTGCATATTTGCATATCAATGCATATTTTGGGAAATTTTTCATATTTTTACCTAAATTTGTGCATATTTTGCCATTTTTTAAGAAATTTTAGTAAAAATCGGGCAAAATTTTCAAAATTTTTTAGGAAAAAAATTGTTAATAAAAATTTTTCGAAAAAATTTTTTGAAAATATTTTCGCGATAAATTTACTTTCCAAAAAAATTTTTTTGGTTAAATTTTAAGTTCATAAAAGAATTAGAAATGCTCTTAAACTGCAATTTAGATGCTAATTTAGTATTTTTTAAATTTAGATATTGATTTTTAAAGCATATTTTTATTATTTTTGCAGTATATTTAATGCATATTTTGCATATTTTGGTGCATATTTTGGACTTTTTCGGTGCATATATATGCGCATATTTTGGGATTTTCCGTGCATATTTTGACACGCCCAAGTTATCAACGTTAAGCCTGCGTTAGACCCATGGAAATCGCAAAGAAAATCAAAATTCTATATTGTAGGATTGCCATATTAATTACTCGTAATTATTGTTTCTATATTTTTTAACGAGTGTTATTAATAAATACGGATAAATATGTAGGACGGACAACTAATTCAGTATAGCCAGACAGAGAGTGTCATACGAGAATCGAGAGCATGATCTTGTCTTGGTCCCGTCTCTAGTTATATGGTAAATGTCTCTCAAACTTATTCCTATCAATCACCTTCTAATCGAATGTGAGATCCGACTTGACAGAAATCAAAGAATTATAAACATGGAAGGATGAAAAAATTAAAGAATATATACTGTAATATCATAAATTTCAATATAATTATACCGGAATCAATTTATAATACATAGCCAACATCATCCATCCCATTGCAAAAATATAAACTTTCAACACAATCCAAATAATAGCAAACCAAGGTCCACAATTTTCAGGTGTTAACGGTTCATCTTCATCCTCATCTTCCGCTTTTCATTTTGCTTTTTTGGTCCTTTTCTTTTTATGTCCTTCATGTGAAGCCCGAGATGGTGAACCTACTGGTCTGCGCATTGCTCGCTTTTTGCGGGAATAAAGTTCATTCGAGAAATTAACTGAGCGTTTCTTGCGAAGAATATTACAGCTACAATTACTCATGGATTTAGTTTCTTCGGGGCTAGCTAAATATTGATAAGATTAATATAACTAGTAATTTAGCATTTATAGAACGATTTTTACATGAAGCTGAAGTGTGAATTCCTTCACTATGTGGTGAAGCCGCATAGGGTTCATCTTGCATTTCATGTGCAGTTGATATTTGCCCTTGTTCAAATGATGGCTGATAAGAAAATACATCTTCATTGTTTTCAAATATCCCGGTAATTGGTGTATTTAACAAAACTTGAAGTATAGAAAATTATTATAAATTATTTATAGTATGCCGTATTTTCTCTAGAAAAATGGTTCCTCCAAAGAAAATAGGGCTGTTTATTCTAAACAGTTGGATCAAAATGATCGCCTATTAAAATGATACAAATGCATTAAATATGTACATATACGATTTACACAATTATAAACTTGTAACTTTTTATTGTACCATCAGACTCATTTTGAAAAAAAATATCGAAACAAGTCAGTAAACCTTGCTGAATGTTGCCATTTTGGAGCATTACTTCTATCTCTTGAGACTTTTCTTCGTCACTAAGTCCATAATACAAATACAACCAAAATTCATTAATTTTAACGTTTGATTGTTCATGATTTTCTGTTCCAAAATTTTTGATGTTTTCAACTTCGTATTCAAACGACACTGAATTGCGTAATTAATAATAATGGAGGTTAAATTAAATTTTACTATAATTTAGTAGAAAACTTTTAATGATCTCGCTTTCTAATGATAACAACTAGAAGAGTGATGTGTGGTTGAATGGCTTAAGTGGTGCGCTTCATCGTTAAATTTATGACAAAGAGGGTCTCATAACAAAGGCCATGGATAATTGAGATCATTAGAAAGTCACTGTTTTGTATCTTACATATTGAACCTAACCAGAAAAGTATCAAAATGTTATATCGTTCTTAAACCTGCCTTTATTAATTATCTCATCAAACCAATTCAAAATACGTTCAAAATTGTCATATTCTTTTATGTTTTCTACAATAAATTGTGCAGATTCAGTAAATTGTATATAATGTTGACCATCATAATAACATTTACGTTCCCGAAATATGCGCTTAGCCATTGGCAATGCAACATGTAGCAAATGTAAAAGACCATGGAATGTGTAGAGGGACAAGGATAATACACGCAAACTTGATCAGGTTCTGATTCTCTTGATAATTACATATTAGATTAAATTTATTATGGTTTATTTTACATAGTCTTATATGTAATATTACTATAGTTAATTTTACATAATTTTACAAAGATTTAACGATCGTTACAGGTCCGACCAAGTAATAGTGATTTGTACTAAATTGGGAAGGTTAAAAGTGATTTGATGGTTGTTAGATTAAGAAAGAATAGAAGTTATTACATAAAAAATATAACCTTGAAAATATATTCTCAGCAAATAATGGTTTTGACAATAATAGATTTTCGAAATTCTCCATTACATTTTTTGTACTTAATAAAATTCTTTTTCCATAATTAAATACGTCATCAGTCGGACTGCTTATGCCATCTATTAATTTTTACAAAGAATCTGTTTCTTCATAAATTTCTTTTGTAGACTCGTTAAGGCTTGTTAAATCTCCGATTTCAAACAAATTCTCCAAAAACTTGAACAAAATATCAACATAAAACCCGCCATTCTCAGTTGCACTGATATATATGTTGTATAGATAATTTGTGGCATTAGACTCTCTAATGTTTCCATTAAAGAAAATTTTGACCATTTGAAATTCTCTCATTAGATTTTCTTTCCAAATTTGATCCATCCAATATAATCTTTATTTAATATAATATTTATTAAAAATCGAATCGTTTCCTTAACACAGAATTAATGCGTCATTTTAATATTTAAGAAAGTTATAGCCGGTCAAAATGGCCATTACTAAAAGATTTGGGTACACCCCATTATATTGCCGCCCGGTATACTGCCGCAAAAATGTATTATTATTTTGGCGGGGGATGTTACTAGGTGACAGGGCATGTTGTTCCAATGACGGGGGATGTTGACCCAATGACGGGGGATATTGACCCAATGACGGGGGATGTTGACCCAATGACGGGGGATATTGACCCAATGACGGGGGATGTTAATACACTGTAACAAAATGATAGCGCCACCGAGTTTTTATCAATATCTCACCAAATATGTAACGAATCAGTTTCAAATTTTGGTGGAATATATTTAAGGATATTATGTATCAATAATGAAAAGATTTTTTGTTACACTCAAAAGTTCAAATTTATTGTTATAAAATTTTTCAAAAAATTGCAACAAACTTTTCCTTTTCAATATTGATACATAATATTCTTACCTATATTCGAAGAAATGTGAGACATATCCATTTCATATTTGGTGAGATATTGATATAAAACTAGGTGGCGCTATCATTTTGTTACAGAGTGTAAGTGAAGGTATAGTGGCCTGCTCCAAATGTACGCATTAATTATAAAATAAAATTTTATTACTCGTTGTGTCTATGCAGAACAGTAGGGCAGACTTCATTTATCCATTTATACAAATTATCAAAAATTCCATTCATTTGAAACGTTCCTCCAGCATGCGTAGGGTAGGCATAAAAGTCGATTTGTTCAAAGTTTGTAAACAGACGGCTGGATTCTTTAAATTAAAAGATACAAATTAAGACATTTTTGTCCAATATTTTTCCACATTTGAATATTTAGACTGGCTATTTATATCTTTTTTACGACGGGAAATTATGACAGGCAATTATAACGGTCATTTATGGCTATTCCGCATAACTCAACAAAACATTGCAAATTATGACATACAATTCTTATAAGAGTTTGCACCGAAACTAGATCTCGAACAATATCTCGGTTATCGAGATCGAGATTTTTAAGATATCAATTCTTTACGACCCTTTCAGCCGTTACGACCGACCCTTTCAGCCGCTAAATATAAAAATGTTTCTACCTATTTCGAAGGCTCTGAAGAAAATTTGATTGATGTAATGAAAACCGTAAAAACTGATAACTTCTTTAATTCTTTCCAAAATATTTTTTCTATCATAACCCAAATATTTTATGTTCGCAGATGATGATTCTGCATTAAACCCCATCATTGTAAAATATATAAATTCTTCCGAAACTATGGAAATAATTAAATTTTCATCAATTTTTCTTCGATCATAAGCAGTGACTTGTCTTTTCATCGCTAATAAACTGAAAATTATAATTAAGGTCTCACAACATAAGCACGGAAAATATCACTGATCCAGGCATAACCGCGTAGGCCCCAATTATGAATAATTATTTATAAAACTTTGATTTCTCTTTTATAGAGGGTTCTCTTACATTTATGTATTCAAGTTTTAGATTGTTTAATTTTTAGGTTAAACTTCTTAAGCTTTTAGGTACCCCCTTAAGCTTTTAAGTCTGCTAGATGAATCATCCTTACATTCTCAAACAAAGTAACTCTTGGATGTTTACCTGCATCCAGCTTGAATCATTAAGTAATGATTGGAATATCCTTCAATTAATAAACTGTAATAATTAATATTCAGTTCATTATCACACATACGAGACCAGTGGTATGAATCAAAATGTGATGAGAATGATGTAAATCTCTCTTTAAATTTTCCCAAAATAGTCTAAATTATTATTATATTAAGCAATAATTTATTATATTTTAGCTTTAATTATTATTATATTAAGCAATTTTACTTTATTTATTTGATGTTGTTGGTATGTTCCATCAAATCGACTATAGAGAAATTTTAATTCATTTTTTTGAAACTCTTTTCTCAATTTTTTAAAATTGAGAAACTCATTTGCTCCGGAAAGAATTTCTGTCAACTTGTATATAAGACGAAGTTCCTGCAAAGAGTTATTTCTTAGTGTTGGGTTACATTTTGACGGAATGGACAGTAAAAACCCAG